GATCCGTCCAGGGGTATGCTGGCATAAAGCAGGAGGCGGGCGAGCTCCAAGGGACGTGGGACCGCCGGGCCAGCCGTAGCAGAAGAGAGCCGCGGCCCCGGGCTGGGAAAAGTGCCCAGGATGCCCCCGGCCCCTGAGCTGAGGGCCAGGCCCTGTGAGAGCATGGCCACCACCCCTCCGGGGCGCAGCAGCCTGCAGGGCACACGACTCGGTGCGGACGAGCCCTCTGGGAGGCTGGGAATGGCGCACGCGCGGAGCGGGCACGGGAGACCCGGGCAGAGTGAGCCTGGGGGACCGGGGCAGGAGCCCGCTCCGTCTCTCCACCGCCGTCCAGAGAGTCACCGGGCACCCCCCACCCCCGCCCCGGCGTGCACGACACTCGGGGACCCGGGTCCACGCTTCCAGAGCACGCAACGAGGGCAGGCTTGGAGCCGAGAGGAGGCGAGCTGCCCTGGGCACCGGGGCCTCCCGCATCGGGTGCGTTTGGCCTTCTCAGGCTGCCACCCCCGGAGAGGCTGCCTTGCCTTCCATCCACCTCCGCTCTCCACACCCGCCTCTGACCTGCCCTCGGCACCCCTGCTGGCGCCCGTCCTCCTGCGGACGGCTCCCTTCTCATGAGCTCCCGTTGTCCCCAGAGATAATTGTCACCCGGGGGCTCGCTTCCCTGGAATTCCAGCATCGAGTCTTGCTACGGGTGTTTTCTGACCGTGGCCCATGGTGGGTTTTCGGCTCTTGTATCCTGTTGTTCCGGATTGTGGTCTTTCTCTGTGTGCGCCCCATTCCAGAGTCCTTCGTGCTGTCCCGCCAGTAGGCCCTGGGACGGATTTGACATGGCGGCTCTGAGCTGTCCCAGGTGCTCAGGTGGCTCTCGCCGCGTTGCCACTCCTCAGGGACGGGGCTCCTGCTCCTCACCCAGGCCACGAGAGAGACAGACTCCCTTCCGGTTTCCCTCTGCCTTTCTGGTCCAGACTGCAGTGATGCGTGTGTGACGCCAGGTCTGCTGGCTGGTCCCCCCTCCCACGGACGCGGCGCCCACCAGGGGCTTCCGGCTCTGGTCCCACCCCGCCCGCGTCCGCCCTGGGGACCTCTGTCTCCTGAGCTGCTGAAGAGAGGTAGAGAGTGTGTGCAAGGTTAATACCTATTTTCTGAATCTTACGATTTGTTAAATGATCCGTCTGTTAGGACGTTGAACCGTCCGCGTTACTAAGTCACGGTCGTGGATTTCACAAAGTCCGTTTCTCTGTGCCTGTGTTTGCATGTTGGCTACAGACTTCTTAAGACAAGTGTGAGCCTTCAGCACCGGCCTCGGTGTGACCGTGGGGGGTCCCGGGGGTGGTCCAGGTGCTGGGGGTATGTGAGCCTTCACCACCGGCCTCGGTGTGACCGTGGGGGTCCCGGGGGCGGCTCAGGCGCTGGGGGAGCCACGCGGTCCCCGCCGCCTTCCACTCCGGGGTCCTCCCTTCCTGCTCTTCCCCAAGGAGACGTCCCTGGGTTTGCAGATTTTCCCATGTCCACACCTTCCAGGAGCTCTGGAGTTTTGCCCAGGAGGAAGCGTGTGTCATCCCGGCTGGCAGGACTCTGTCCGCGGTGACGTGTCATCCACCACACCTGCTGCCTTTGAGCCACTCGCTGTCACTTACCTTTTACTTTTCAAAACTCCCCCCTTTCCTGAACTCTTCTGCTAAGTGTCTGGGGCTGGCGTTCCTGTCCTGCCATGCCGCAGTCCCGATACTTTGACTGATCCGTGGGTGTGGGAATTCCGTCCCACTTGAGACACGCGGGTGACGTGTTCTCCAGTCGCGATGGTCCCGGCCCTGCACGTGGCGGCTGTCCTCACGCGTCCCTGCAGGTGCGCTGGGGCCCCGTCCCGCTCGGCCTGTGGGGGTTCCCTCGGCCATGGTGACCGCTCCACCAGCTGTTGTCTCCCAGCTCTGGAGGCCGGGGTCCCTGGGCTCCGGCCATGTCCACTGCCGCCCTGCACACTGTGTGGGCGCCTCCCCTCCTCCCAAGGACGCCAGCCGAGCTGCTCCACAGCTACCGCGTGACCCCATAACGGCATCGCCTCCAGGGGCCCCATCTCCAAGTACGGTCCCATTCTGAGGTCTTGGGGATTGGGACTCAGCATCTCTTTTGGGGAGACGCGGTCCAGCCCATCCTGCGGCTCACGAGAGACCCCGCTCGCTCCAGGGAGGTGTCGTTCCCACTGTGAGCCGCATCGCTGTGTTGCTTGAGCCGTCACACCTGGCCTGTCCTGAACTTGAGTCCTTTCTCTCGTGAGCCCTGCCCCTGGACCCTTTCTTTAGGCATCCTTCTTTCTGGAGCGTTAGAATGTTCCAGATCTTCCTAGGGCTTTTCCTCTCCAAGACATGGGACCAGCCACCTCCAGGAAGTCCTGGTGTCTGAGTGGAAAGGGCGTGAGGGCACAGAGTCCAGCTGAGCGGGCTCGCAGCTTGGCGGTGGGCCCTCAAGCGGACACAGAGCAGGAAGGCAGCTGTCCTTTTAAGGTCACGAGCAGATGGCCAAATTCCCAGCATGCGGGTTTGTGACCAGGAGAGTCTGGTCGTAGCGGGTCCTGGGGCTGGAAGGAGGACGTCTGTGGCCTCAGGCTGCCTCGTCCGGACCCGGAGGTCCCAGCTGACATTTGTGGAGGGAAGGCGGCTCTGAGGGTCCGTCCGGCCAGAGCAGGGCCAGAGGGGATGGCCAGGCCAGCCAGGGGTGGCCCGGAGTTAGCACCCCTCGGGGAAGCCCGGCCTGGTGTGCGCATGGCAGGGCCTGCAGCTCTCTGTGGGATGTGTGGGCCACACGGTGGCCTTGGCGGCTGAGGCAAGGGGAGGGCACGCGGCAGAAAAGCCAATTCAAGCAGGCTTAGACGGTACAACAAACTGGTTTCTAAACCTGGAAAGGCTCAGAGGACGCGGCCATGGAACAGCTGGCATGAGCAGCCGGGCTGTGCGCGTCCCCTGCCCCACCTCCTCAGGGGTGGCCCCATCCTGGGCCAGCTCTCCCGTTTGGAAAAGCAGCCACACACCCCGGGGAGTTCACGGCACGTGCCCGGGGGGATGCCGAGGCCGGCAGTGAGGCTGGCCCCCATCCTGGTGCAGGGGATCCCAAGCAGACCTCCCTGCCTCTGACCGGCCCTGAGCCCATTGCTGGGGCTCCAGTGGGAGGGGCACAGGTGGCTTCCTGGAGGACATTTGGGACAGTGTTGGGGGGTGGTGGCCATGTGGAAGGTCCCAGACCCCTCAATGCAGGCTCCCTCCCCCTGCCCCCTCCCTGAGCTGGGGTGGGACTCTGCCAACCCCTCTCCCCCTCCCCCCTGCAGGGGGCCAGCTTCTGGGGCCTGGACCCAGACTGGGGTCATGGCCCTCGTCCCTCCAGGCCTGGGACTGCTGGCCGGCCCCGGGCAGAGCCAGGTCACAGAGGCCCAGGAGCCATGGGGCCCTTGTCTCCCCTCTGCACCCCCAGGTGGAGAGCAACTTTGGCAGTTACCACCAGTTTCTCATGCAGGCGTTGATTTACCTAGCCAGCCCCCACAAAAACCTGAAGCACACGGCCATGAAGTTCATCGGTAGGTGCCAGCCTGTGGTCCTGTGCTTCCACTGTGGCACTCGCCAACCCTCCCTCCCCGCCTGAGCTGCCACGTTAAAGGCCACGCTCCTGTGCCCTGGGGACAGCCCCAGCAGGGGCAGTGGCACTGGCCCTGTGGCATGGACATTCCGGTCCCATCAGCCAGGTGTTGACCTCCTTTCCCTGCCAAGCTGGCCTCCCTTGGGCCCCAGAAGCGCCCATACCCACCACCTTCCCTCCCTGACCCAGGGGGCATTCTGCAGGAGTACTTTACCGACCTCTGCTTTTCTCTGAAGAAGGGTGACCTGAAAATCCTCAGGAAATGTGAGCCCCGGGGGCCAAGAACATGGGACCTCTTTGTCTCCCGACTTCTAAGAAGGTCCCTCAACCAGCCTGTCCCAAGGGCGGGGCATTGTTTTGTCCTTGAGACTCCGTTCCAGGACAGGGCTGTACCCCCCACCCCACATGGGCTCCCGGGACAGGGCTGTGGTCCCCCACCCAACATGGGCTCCCGGGGCAGGGCTGTGCCCCCCCACCCCACGTGGGCTCCCGGGGCAGGGCTGTGCCCCCCCCCACCGCACATGGGCTCCCGGGGCAGGGCTGTGGTCCCCACCCTGCCCTTCCCCACCCCGGGGCCCTGTGCGTCAGACCTTGGGCATCTCTGCTGCAGACATGGAGGTCCTGAAGCAGGACCCAGACTCCGTGAGCCGCAGATTCTACCACAGCTTTTTGGAAGACATCAGTGAACTGTCCCAGTTTGTGAGGCATTGAGCCCCAGCTGAGGCCGCACTTGTTCCTGGCAGATGCTGTGTTATTTCTCTATTAAATGTGACAGAGTTCCCCTTGGCCTCCCCCGGCTCTCCCTGCCTGGGACCCTCCTGCCACCCCCCTCCGTGAGGCTAGGTGGTCTCCTCTCCAGACACTCAGGACACGGGGTCCTCAGGAACTCTGCTGATGTGTCCTTTGGCCGCATGAACCAAGACCTTGCCTGTCGGTGCTGAGCCCAGAGCCTTGGGGGTCGGCCTTGACACCCCCCAGCCCTCCCAGTGCTTCAGATCCAGTGATCCCTACTCCCCAGCGTCTGGACTCTCCCCATGTGCCCCGCCCTGATCTAGGCCCCCCAGCCTCTGCTCCTGCCCCATCCGTGGCCCTGAGACCCTTGGGACCTGGTCTGCCCCTTCCTGATGCCTGCTCTGGCTCATCTCCCCGCCTGCCCCGCTCGCTCTCCACAGTGCCCAAGCGGCACTGCCAAGCCTTCCCTCCTGTTGCAGCCCCCGGTGAGGGGCCCTTCCGCTGTGTCCTGTGGCCCCCTTGCTCCCTGTGGCTGTCCTGGGGACGGCATCCGCGGCTGCTCAGAAAGTTCTGGACATGGGGTAGTCGCCTGGTGAATGTGACTCAGACCAACGAGTGAAGACGTGCCTGGGACACGGCTCTCATCCTCCCGAGGTGCCGTGGGCCTGCTTGTGCAGGTGCATCCACGTCAGCTCTCCGGAGGCCAGGAGTCCCCCAGAGACTCCAGCCAGGAAAACGAGGGAGCGTCCTAGAGAAGGGGAAGCTGGAGGCCAGCCTGGAGGACGTGGCCAGCGAGTGGTCAGGGGGGTGGAAGGCCCTGAGCTGGAGCCTGCCTTGGCAGGAGGTGCTGCATGAACGAAGGCCAGGCCCGCCCTGCGGCCAGCAGCTGACAGGTTGGGGCCCGAGCGAGAAGCTGGAAGGGTGCGCAGGGGCAGGCTCGGGAGCCACAGAGGCCTGGGAGTCTGGGCCTGCGTCTGCTGGAGACGTGAAGCCCATGGGGGTGTCAGGCAGGAGAGAAGCCCGTGCTACCCCCCACGGCCTTTCCCAGCAGCTGGGGGCGCCGAGGCTCTTCTTCAGACAGTGGCTGTTGGGAGCTTGGCACAGCCCTGCTCCTGCCTTCCGAGCCCTGCGTGGCAGTGGGGCCAAGTGGTCAGGGCCGGAAGGCAGGGTGGGGAGCACCAGGGCATCTGTGCCTGGGGGAGGGCCTGGGGCCAGGAGCAGTCCGAGCTGTGGGGAGGAGTCTGCGTATCAAGGCAGCTGGGGTCAGGGAGAAGCAAGCAGACTCTTTTAGGGATGCCGGCTTTTTGCGGTTAGGTGGAAGAGGGCGCCCAGCAAAGAATAGTCCATGAAGCAGTCAGGAGGGGACAGGGTGTGGCCTTGCAGGAGCCCAGAACCAGTGAGCCCTCAGAGAGGGGATGAGGAAGGTGGGAGGGAGCACATCTTGCTCCAGAGCGCTTTGGGGTCTGCTGAGGGGACACAAGGCAGTCAACATCCGCAGCGTGCGGACTAGTGTTCTAAAGAAGCCTCCCGTGAAAAGACAAGTAGATCTTGGATAGATGATAATAAATGTACTTTTTAATGTATTGCTGGTGCTCAAGAACAGTCAGGGAAATCTCTCAAGGCTTAAAAACAAAAAGCAAGCCAAGTATCCAAAGCTGAGCCAACAGACAGAATGGTGGGTGGGAAGCAACCGAGACTCCAGGTGCTGTGGCTGGGGGACTGGGCTGGGGGCCGGGGTGGGGCCAGGGCCGCGCTCCCCAAGCCAGGGAGGAGGGAGCACTGGACCAGATATGCTTGACCTGGGCTCTGGAAGGGGCTGCGAGCAGCCTTGCCCCCCGGGTCCGAGCAGCAGCTAGCAGATAGCCGCCCGACAGGAGGGAGTTCGCCCCTTACGCCCTCAGCATGCAGACGGGGTGAGTGAAACCGTATTTGAGCTACTGAGAAAAGTTTGCAGACATGAGGAGAGAAGCCCCTGAGTGAGACCAAACTCACAGCTGTTTCAGGCTCCTGGGATCTTCAGAGACTGGAATTAACATGTACAGCTTGCACCAAATGATCACAGTCGAAATATTTGAAGAGACAAAAAGACAACGAGAAAATGACCAAAGATAAAGACTTATCAGACATGGCCAAACAGATCTGAACAAGAATCAAAGGGCATTTTAGGAAAGTACAGTGGCTACACTTGAATCTCTGTGGCTCTGTGGGAGAGCCCGTATCAGACCCGGGGGGAGAACTGAGTGGAAAGCTGCACAGGGGATTCCTAGAGACGCCCCGGTTCCGCCTGGAGGCACACGTCCGCACAATGGGAAGCGCACGCCTCTCAAGCGCGGTGAGAAAGCGTAGACCCACCCGGAGACGTGCTGGTTAGAGCAGAAGAGAAGGCAGTGCTGTCAGTAGGGAGGGAGGCACAGAGCCCCTGGGCTGACGGCCGTCCCGCGCCACCACGGAAGCCAGCAGAGGGCGGGGCTGGTAACTGTCCACGGGAGCTGTGCCCGCCGTGCAGCCGGCTGGCAGCCCTGGAGCTGAGATGGGCGTCGGCTCAGACACCCCAGGCCCAGACGCTGACCCCCGGCCCCGGTCAGCCTGGAGGAGCTGGGGAAGCCCGGAACGGAGCACGGCGTCCTGAGCGTCGGTGAGTGAGAACTGCGGTGGCAGTCTGGTTAGCTGGCAGAATAGACTCCAAGACGCAGAAACTTCTCTGGATGTGGGTGGTAAAGGGAGGGATGGGATGAGCTACAACCATCAGAAACATAGACGCACCAAAAACACAGCCTCGGGACGTATCAGCCAGCGTGGACTCCTCCTAAATGTTAAGACCTACTGTAAAGTCCTGGCAGCCAGGAAGCAGTAACAGCAAAAACAAAGTAAGAGTGTGTGCTGGCTTAAGAACAGATATCCACGGGCGCCTGG